CCAAAGAAGTATTTAAACGATAATGCAAGTTAGACTGATGCGCCGAGCTCAATGCATGCAATACAAGTGGATGCAAACATGGATTATGCTAAACAAAGCATGATGCTCTAATCTAACCATTGTAAATAGTTAAATAAAAGGGAGAAGGACGTAGGGTTGGAAGACATACACATTATTACAACATTTGTGCCTTCACACAGGAGGGTTCGAATGAACTAACTAGCTAACTAATTGAAGCTAAACTAATTAAGTAGTTATTACAAACCCAAATGAATAATTTAGCTAAACTACTTAATTAATTATTATAATAAATTAATTAACTCTTCTAGCTAACTAACTATTACAACAAATCAAAATGAACAAATTATTTACATGAAAACAACATAAAAAAGGTGCTAAGCTAGTTATTCTAATTACTCCGCCTCGGGAAACGAGGAATCCTCATGCATGCACGAACTTTCCATCCAAAAAAGCCATTGTTTCTGCTATCAAATGCCTCTGTTGCACAGTAGAACACTTGCACTAATTTCCACCTCAGAACCAACTATGTTATTCTTTAAATGTACACTGCTAGATTTTGCACTAGTGGTTGGCATGCTAGTAGTGATGGCCTGCCGGCCACAGAAGGTGGCCAGCAAGTGGCTTGCCAGCCACTGATGACTGGACTTTCCTGCTGCAACAGAGAGCAAACAGAGTAGAAACAGGGTATTCTCAAGGGTTTGTTTGCATAACTCACCCCTCATTATCATCAAATAGCTCAAAAGAATAGTAAGTTTGATTCACAAACCACCAATAGATACAATTTCATTGCATGATGGCTTATGAACCAAGTGTGTAAGTTCAATGAATGCAACAAAATAAGACCCTCAAAACCACCTCCCTATCATAAAAGATCAAGGGAAGTAGTTGACGATGAATCTTGAACCGTTTTCATCACTAATGAGTATAAAACGACTCAAGACTCAAGGGTTCAATTAACGTCCGATTGAACCCTAACCAAATTATGATGTGTTGATGAAGATGTTGTTGTTGATGATGATGATAATGTTGATGAAGATGTTGATTCTCTCTCTCTGTATTGATGTTTGTTGAAGATGATGATGTGTTGATTATCTCTCTTTCTTGTCTCCTCTTATTATTCTTATTCTTCATCTCTGCAGCTGCTTCTTTCTTCACCTTCATCTTTTTCATCTTCAGTAAAACGGGAAAGAAAAGTGAAAAAAATAAAAAATCACAACAGTCAGTGTGTTTGGTTTGAGTTTTTTGAATTAAGTTTTTTAAAAATTGAATTTTTTGGTTTTCGTGTTTTTTTGTTTTTAGTGAATATTTTTAAAATTTTAAATATTTTTTTTACTTTTTTAGATGCACCTTACTTAGATGTATCAAAAAAGTAAAAAATTTGTGAATTTTTTTTTAAAAATTAATAAATATATAAAAATACAAAAAATGTACTGAATTCTCGTATTTATTTTTGCATTTTTGGTATTTAGTGAATTTTTAAAAGGTTTTTTTTAATTTTTTTTTACTTTTTAGGTATATTTATGTTAGGTATGTCTAAAAATTAAAAAAATTACTCAAAATATTTTTAAAAATCAATAAAAATAAAAAAAAACATGAAAAATAATAAAATAAAATTTTCTGAAAAGTATTTTTAAAAAGTAGTAACCAAGCAATATGAATGTCATTTTGGACTCGGGGCATTCGAGCAACCCATTTTTCGGAGCAAGGATCCTCTAGAGTGATTTTTTCCTAAAATTTCCTAGAGTGCTACATTGTGTGGTTGAGATTTATTGGCAAGTCACATCAATTTTTCTGATGTGACTTGCCAGTAAATCTCAACCACACAATGTAGCACTCTCGGAAACTTTAGGAAACTTTCACTCTAGAGGATCCTTGGTGCATTTTTCGTGCTACCAACCGAAGTTGGTACTTGCTGACCAATCAGAATCCACGTGTGACTTCAACTTTTAACTCGGTGACGTAATCATCAGTCACCCACACAAATAGTCCAACATTACATTGCCGAATAAAAGACACATTTTCGATAATCCAAGGCCGAATGTTTTTAATTTGTCCAGCTATTCATTACCATGTATTTCTAGTTTTATTTTTTATATTATTTATTTTTTTGATTGAAAGGATTATGATTATGCTTATACTCATTGTAATAATGTAAGTATTGTATTATTAGTGGACTCCAGTCATAAATTCATAACAGACAAGATTTGTTAAGCTTTTTTATGAATACGATTTTTTTTCTTATTTTTAATTTGTATTGAGTTTTATTAATAATTTGACATATAAATGTATTTATTATTTTTAGATTTTTAGTAGTAGTCAAGTATTAATTAAATGGGTTTCTGACGTTGGGAATAATACTAGATTTGACATTGTTAGAGCATCTCCAATGCACTAGGCAGATAATACTTGTTAGTTAAAATGCCTAGTGTGATTCACTTTTTTCAATTCCAATGCACTAGGCATATGATTAGGCATTTTGGCTCAATTCATATTCACTAGCTACATGTAGCTAGCCTTCAACGCTAGGCAAAATGTATTCAATCATTAGGATCATTTCCCTCCATCTTTGTTGTTGACGTGTCATTCTATAAAATTAATAGTATTTGGATAAATAGCTAAAATAAAGAGTATGGTTGGAGTAAAAACATAAAACAGTTGATAGGTAAAATAAAATATATACTTTATAGGAATATTTAGATAGGTAAAATGCCTACTACCGTTGGAGATGCTCTTATAAAGACATCAGATGTCAAACAACTGGATTTGTTTTCATCACCCACATGCTAGTGGATGGGACAAAACTTATACTACTTGTATTCATCAATTCCGTACGCTTATCGATCCTGATGTAGTAACTACCGAAACCATCGATATAGACGAATTGTGATAACATGTTTAATTGATAGATGCAAACAATGACAGATTTTATGAATGTTTGTACACTTGATATTTTTATGAATATTTTTATAGATACTTTTTATATATGGTTTTATGGATGCGTATTTGATTTATGGATTTTTTTTATATGCTTGAGGGAAAAAGTAAACATTTCAACATAGAGCGATAAGTGGCTAAATAAATCTATTATAATTTGACAATATGACGCTAGAGTAATCTAATTTATATAGCAATGTATCACCGAATAGACACTTCCAAGTGATCTCAAATTAATTTATTGTTATCATCCAATCGAACGACAACATATTGCTTGGAAAAAAAGTTTGTTTGGTAACATGACATTGGATTAATTCAAATTTATTAGCATTGTATTAGCGAACAGGCCTGACACAAATTAAAAATCATTTTTTGGAGAAAAAAAAATGGCTCTGTAAATGTATAGCAACAAAACGTTGGAGAAATCTATTTTTTCCGGCAACATAACACCTGAGGAATGTAAATTGTTTAGCACTGTGTGACCGAACAGGCACTTCGTTGTGGGCTCTACTCAGTATCTTCCCTGCATCTTTCTCTTTCCCTTTCTCTTTCTCCTTGCTGCGTCTTTCTCCGTTCCCTTATTTTCTCTCCAAAAACTATTAGTGTAAAGAGATGAAAGAGTTTTGAAGAATCTTACTTTAGGGTTAATTTTGGTAATATAATAAGGCCTCATTTGGAATAGGTTATTTTAGTAACTTTTTTATTTTTTTTAGCTAAAATATGAGGTATAAAATTAGTATGTTCGGAATGAATTTTTGTACAGAGAAAAAAGAATCATTAACTTTTTTATATATATTGTTGATTTTTTAATTTTTTAATTTTTTGAGTGACTTTTAAATTTTTAAATTAAAATATTAAGTTGTCAAACGAAATCTAAAGTGTAATAAAAATCATATTTTGCTTTCGCCAATCACAAAACAGCAACAGAAGTGTATGTAACATACTTGCTGAATAATACTTCGTTGCTCGAAAACGGTGGCTCGAAATTGGCTTGAATATACAAAGCGACATCGTTTTGTATTTTTATTTTTTTTTCTTTTCTTTTTCCTGGTTTCAAATACAAACAGACAGAGGGAAGAGAAGAGAAGAGAAGAGAAGAGGCGAGAGAGAGAAAGAAGAGAAGAGGAAGAGAGAAGAGGCGATGGCGGTGATGGCGGAGGAGGAAGAGAAGGAAGATTGACGGTGATGCCGATGGGTATCGCCGATCGCCTCCTCTATTTTCTCTACTTTCTTTTTTCTTTTTCTTTTTTCCCCTTTCTAGTAGATCTGAATCTGGATCTTGATCTTATTGTTGATGATGATGATGTGTTGATGAAGATGTTGTTGTTGTTGTTGATGATGATGATAATGTTGATGAAGATGTTGATTCTCTCTCTCTGTAATGATGTTTGTTGAAGATGATGATGAGTTGATTATTTCCCTTTCTTGTCTCCTTTTCTTATTCTTATTCTTCTTCTTTGCTGCTGCTTCTTTCTTCACCTTCATCTTCTTCATCTTCAGTAAAACAAGAAAGAAAAGTGAAAAAAATAAAAAAAATCACAACAATCAGTGTGTTTGGTTTGAGTTTTTTGAATTAAGTTTTTCAAAAATTGAATTTTTTGGTTTTCGTATTTTTTTATTTTTAGTGAATATTTTTAAAATTTTAAACATTTTTTTTTACTTTTTTAGATGCAACTTACTTAGATGTATCAAAAAAGTAAAAAATTAATAAATATATAAAAATATAAAAAAATGTACTGAATTCTCGTATTTATTTTTATATTTTTGGTATTTAGTGAATTTTTTAAATATTTTTTTCAATTTTTTTTTACTTTTTAGGTATATTTATGTTAGGCATGTCTAAAAATTAAAAAAATTGCTCAAAATATTAAAAAATTCAGTAAAAACAAAAAAATACGAAAAATAATAAAATAAAATTTTTTAAAAAGCATTTTTAAAAAGTGATAACCAAGCAATATGAATGTCATTTTGAACTCGGGGCATTCGAGCAACCCGTTTTTCGAGCTACCAACCGGAGTAGGTACTTGCTGACCAATCAGAATCCACGTGTGACTTCAACTTTTAACTCGGTGACGTAATCATCGGTCACCCACACAAACAGTACCCCGCGTGTATCTTTAATGTTTCCCCGCAAGTTACACTACACTGTAAGCGCAACTTAGAACAGTCCGGCGCACACAATCCCGCGAGCTCTAAACCGCCTTTTTTCTTCAGGTTTCGAAATCCATGCCCACCAAAATCGAACCTCTCATTCCTCTCTGTTTTGTCTTCGAAGATCGATCAAAACCCTAACCCTAGGCGAAAATTATCGTCGTCTTCAGGTTAGCAACTAGCTATTACGAATTTCAAATTTTCGTTTTGGGTCTGTAATTGCAGGTAGTTTTTGTTTGTGGGGTTTGCCTGTAAATGTATGAATTATGGGTTTTGTAGTTCAGATATGAAATGATTGAAGAATTATTATGATTTGGGGTCAGTATGAGGGACATCAAGCATTTGCCTGAGGCTGTTCGCAGCTCGGTTCGTTCTGGCATTGTCTTGTTCAACTTGACCAGAGTCGTGGAAGAGCTGATTTTCAACAGTCTTGATGCTCGTGCAACCAAGGTAAAATGTTGAAATGTATTTTTATAAGATTGTAAAATGTATGAATTTAAAATCTGAAAACTGAAATGAATTTGGAAAAATCAGAAGTTCCAAAAAAAAAAAAACTGAATTTAGGGTATAAATGGCCATGTAACTGCTGTAGGGATATTTTGGGAAAACCCAAAAAATGAGACATCAATACCAACGCACGCCTTCCCTTTATGATAGTATAGATAGATGTAGGTAGATAGACATAGAAGATAGAAGATAGAAGATAGATAGATATACATAGCAGAAGAAGATAGATTATATCTGTGTGCATATGTAAATAATGATTTAGCTACAATTTTGTTTGATAACTCAAACGTCTTGATCTTTTATCCCTTTTAGAGGAATAAGATTTCTGCGGCGGACGTTTATTTTATTAATGGCAAAATATTCAACACCTACCTGGACAATTGGTAGACTCTTTGATGACAAAATATGCCTAGAATAAGCAGTTTATGTTAACCTGTGTAGTGATCAAGCTGGTTTTTACCCTGTGCTAGGATTGCCCATCCTTAGAGCTAATAGGTTGAATTCAGGAGAGTTATACTTATTAAGGAAAGATAGGAGTGGGGTACCTCTTTGGAACATGGATCAATGTGAAACCGAAATAATTTCCACTTCGTACTTTTTAGTACTTTTGATGCCATGTGTTGCTTTAATGTCTATTCACTTTGAAACCCTTTCAATAGAATTTCTTTTTTCAAAGGGTCTGGTTTTATACTGTTATAAATTAGGACAACCGATGTAATCAAAGGATGTAGGCTATATAAAAGAATCATGTGACCTGTGAACCTAACCAACCCAATGTCTGGTTCCAACCATGGGGTTGTGTTGGGTTCATTTGATCATGGGAGAGGCTCGGCTTGGTTCTGGGTTCATTCCTTGAGTAACCTGAACAAAACCAAGATCCGCCCCTGTATGTATTTTGTTAAAAGACTTGTATGATGTACAAATGTACATGTGATATTTTCAAGTTATTAGTAAAAATGTTATCATCACATATAAGAGAATTATTGTAAAAATAGAATTTACAAATTACAATGGACATCTATCAAGCCTTATAAAATATTTACTTATAGCTTGAATTGTGGGTTACCCCAAACGACACCAAGGTTTCTTGGTTTGGTTTAATTAAGTTCCATTTGTTTTTTGACATCCATTTGTTGTTTGGTTTAATTAAACAATTGTATAGATGAAAAAAGGGGTAATTACATTTCACTCTCATGTGGTTATGCCAAAAAACATAGCGCCCCTTGAAGTTTTAATTTGTGATATTAATTCCCCCTAGGTCAATATCAAAATGAAAAAAATGACTATTTCCATCTAAATTAACAGTACCAAGGCGTGACGTGTCAAATATTGTTTTAATTTTAAATTGAATTATTCAAATTTTGAAATGACATTTATGCCTTCTTTCCCCCAATTATTCCTTTGTTTAACCTTAAACATGCCATTCTTTAAGCTTCAATTCTGCCATTCTAAAGGGTTCAAAGCTGCATATTGGCTAGGGGTGAGGAGGGAGAACATGGTTGGGGGGAATAGGGCAATGATTGGCTTGGGGTGGGGGGGAGGGGAAGGGGTTAACGACTAGCTTAAGGTGTAGGAGGGAGTAAGGGGGCAATAATTGGTTTATGGTAGGATGAGGAAAGAAGGTGGTGGATAGAGATGAAGCATGCAGTGGATTAGGTTGGCTTAGGGAGGAGGGTGGTAGGGGACATGGCTAGCTGATTGGCCCTAGTGCAGAAGGATGATGATGGTGGGGGAGAGGATAGTTGACTATGTTGTCATGCGAGGAAGGAGGACAATGGTGGAGGAATGGTAACTGACTAAGTTGGGGTGGGAGGAGGGAGGACAGTGGTGGGTGAGGGGGAAGCCAACTGGTTGGGGTTGTAAAGAGGGAGAACAGGTGGAGAAGTTGGGAAAGGAGGCAATTGATTGGTTGGGAATAGGAAGGAGGTAGATCAAAGGTTGGGAAAAGGGGAAGGGGCAACCAACTTATTTTGGTGGGGAGCAGGGAGATTGGGGGTGGGTGGAAAGGGAAGAGGTCAAGCGATGTGGTGGTGGTGGTGATGGGTGTAAACTACATTATGATTTGGGGTCAGTATGAGGGACATCAAGCATTTGCCTGAGGCTGTTCGCAGCTCGGTTCGTTCTGGCATTGTCTTGTTCAACTTGACCAGAGTCGTGGAAGAGCTGATTTTCAACAGTCTTGATGCTCGTGCAACCAAGGTAAAATTTTGAAATGTATTTTTATAAGATTGTAAAATGTATGAATTTAAAATCTGAAAACTGAAATGAATTTGGAAAAATCAGAAGTTCCAAAAAAAAAAACTGAATTTAGGGTATAAATGGCCATGTAACTGCTGTAGGGATATTTTGGGAAAACCCAAAAAATGAGACATCAATACCAACTCACGCCTTCCCTTTATGATAGTATAGATAGATGTAGGTAGATAGACATAGAAGATAGAAGATAGAAGATAGATAGATAGAGGGAGCAGTTTTGCCAGCTTAAGCATAATATCTCATTTTGCATCTGAAGGGCAGCTCCTGATATGTTACATGGAGGTGCAAAGTTAGCTGCTAAGTGCAGCATGTTATTGTCATCCATGTCCCTTTTGGTAGCTATCACTTTTCCAGCCGAGCCAATCTCGTGTAGCAGCTTGAAGATTTTCTCATCCCGCTTTCGAACCGCGACATGGAATATGGTTTGATTTTCTTGATCGGATGTCCATATGAGGTCCGGAAAACTTTGCAGAAGCCTAATCAAGAACTCTGTATTTCCCGAATACGCGGCCGCAAACAGTAGTTTTGGTGCCTCTTCGATTATGTTTGTGATGTCCAGGTTATCAAGATGGAAAATGTTTTTTATGAGGCAGTCTGTTAGCTTAAGTGCAAGAGTTTGCGTTGAATTTTTACCTTGAAAAAAGATCAGTTAATTTGGTTAATAGACTATAAAATTCTAAAAAAAATCATGTGACGATTGTTTATGGTAAAAGATCAAAAATGGTGTGAAAAATGAATAATTCCAGGCAATACCAAATAAACCACAGTATGTATGCTTGGTAAGCCTGAGGTCCAAAGAAAAAGAAAAAGAAAAAAAAAGAGGAAAATGAGGTTGCCATTTGTTGGGCCTGATAGTTTCAAGAGTCACATGAATTGAATTGTGAATGGTCATATTTTGATAACAAAGGTTTTCGGTTTGGTTTTGGGTCCTAAAAATGATAATTGAATAGGTTGGTTCAGTTTTGGATTTGGCACTAACTCGGACCAAATCAACCCAATGCACACCCCTAACAAGAATTGTGCATCTCTTTAGTTGAAATTAGACCGTTGCTAAACCACTACGTAAGTTTTACCATTATATAGTTGTTCTATGCATGTTTTTTTACATTTGGTTTACTTTTTTTATTTTTTTCACTGAGGACTGATTTGTTCTTTCAGGTATCTGTTGCAGTTGGTGTTGGGACCCACTACATTAAAGTAGTGGACAATGGTTAGTTGTATTTTCCCCCTTCTCAATAGTTAACTCACATTGCACCCTGAGCTCTCTAGTTTATTTTTTGCCTTTTATGTCTGTTTACTTGCAGGATGTGGTATTACTTGGGATGGGTTGGTATTGTTGGGAGAAAGATACGGTAACTGAATATCTTTCTTCTTCTGAAAAACTTTTATTTTGGCTGCTGAGATTCTTGACACGATGCAAACAAGTAGATCCATACAAGCTTGTTGGATGCATGCCCAACTATACATGTCAGACCTTTGTTCCATACCCTTACCCATGTGTTGAGTGTTCGGCATTGGTATTTTGCACATTTAGAATAGTCCATGTAACATAGGAAATAATAGTGAGGGATAAGAATTTATACTTTGTTTTTCATAGGACGTGTCATAAATCTTAGAGGGAACCAATCTCGCAATTTCAGATGTAAAAATTCTCAATATGAATTGGGATTTTTAGCAAAAACCTGTTTTAAGTCATCATGGAACACCTAATAGTGCTCATTCCAATAGGGACACTTGCCTTAAATTTTGAGTTTCACATACTCTTTTGTTGTCCTTGTTTATTTATTTTTTCTAGATGGAATGCGTGTGAAAATCAACTAATAAGCCAACGAGTGTGTTTTTTTTTTGGTTGTGTGTGTGTGTGTGTGTGTGTGTGTTTGCTTGTTGGATATGGACATGGAGGGGATATGGCAATTTTTTGTTTATTTATTTATTATATATATGAATATAAATTTAGAATGTATAGATACGAGAAGCATCGATATATATTTGGGTGTATTTTTATTTTTTATATTTTTATTTTCCATTATTTTACTTTGACCCCAAATCATCTTTCTAAAATTATAAAAAAATAAATAAATCTACAAAGGTGTCTTGAGACATGTCCAAACACAGGACACGTGTGTTCATGAAGAATCCCCACATGCCCTACAAAAAAAATAATAAAAAAAAAATTGACATGCCACGTGGTGCGTCGGACACAAGGACACACATCCCCGTCGTGGCACATATGAACACAGCACCAATCTTGGAGTATCTGTGCTTCTTAGCTGCCTATATATGGCTGTCTCGTATATGAACGCCAGTTGGAATAAAATTCTCTCTTCTTTTAAGAAAACTGGTCAATCCCATGTGTTGGTGAAAAGAAAGAGTATATCTATTGCACGACCCATGGCATTTCTTCTGTTGAATATGCTATTATAGAACATTGAATAAGCACAGGGAAATCTTATACATTGGAAAGTGTGGCATTATTTTACTTTTGAAAGTATTGATGACTGATAGCCTACTTCTTAGTTTTTGGAATGTAGGTGCTTAGTTGGACTGTTTAACCATTGCTATCATGTGGGGATAACTACAAATACAATTTATTTATTGACCATGTTATCTAATGATTTGTGTGTTTACTATGAGACCAGCAACGTCAAAAGTTGATCAGCTAGCTAATATTAATGCTATTAGTGGAAGCTTTGGCTATCGAGGAGAAGCATTGAGCTCCATTTCTGATGTTTCATTGTTAGAAGTCATTACAAAAGCTCATGGGAGGCCAAATGGATATCGTGAAGTCATGAAGGCATGGATTGTTCTTCAATGTTTCGAATTTAATTTTTCATTTGTCAATTTTGAGCGTCTTTACTGCCATTTTTCCAAGTATCCTGGTGGTTGACTTACCATCATTCTTTTCAGGGATGCAAATGGTTGTATCTTGGAATTGATGATGGTAGGCAAGATGTAGGCACAACAGGTAAAAATTGTTGTGTAGTCACTATTGGCAAGCAAGTCACTATTATTTCTCCCATTTGGAAGATCTGTTTGTGCTTTTTTTGCCTGTTGTTTTCTTCTCTTTCTTGACACTGTTAAATGTTTGATAACAAGTTTAAATAAAACAAAAATTGGATTTGTAAGTAACAAGAACCTGCACAAGTATATTATGGTGGAGAGCATTATTCTATTTGGTAGAAGGTAAGCAAATAGATTGGAGCTGGCCTTATGTGTGCACAAGTAAAGATTGCTTCTTTAGCATTACAAGAACAACACTGGAACTTCACCTGAAAACAAAATGATAAGCCGCTTTTAGGCCAAGTTTGGGAAGACTAAATAAGTGCACTTTTTGACTTTTTATGAAATATGGGTTGGATTTGGGTTGGGTTTGAAGTGATGTGTTAGAGATGTGATGTGACTTAAATAAGATGATGTGACTTAAATAGGATAGTGACTTTTTGACTTTTTGAATTTTTTGGAGGATGCCAAACTTGGCCTTAATCATCGTTCCTTTTCTTTGTTTTGAATTGTTTGGAACAGGGAGTTTCTGGCTTAATTAGCTCAGTGTTGAAAATGAACAAATTCAGGATTGGATCAGCCTTCCAGAAATTCCACTTAGAAGCCTCCTCTTAATAACATCTAATTAGCGTCTTTCTAGTGTCGCATGACTGCTTTTCATCACATTATTGTTTCCAAATTTTATATAAATAACTATTTTTGTTTTAATCTGCCATAACATTGTTCTCTTCACATTACATTGAGAAATTGTCCTTTATAAAAGGTTACTTTGGTAGATTGTCTAGTGAAAAGGAGAGATGGAATTTATAAACACACTTTGTGTCAATGCCTTACAAGTTTGTTTAAACTGATCATCAAAGCATCAATGTTTGCAGCGTGAATCCATTTTTGTAGCTTATTTTGAGGAAGTCAAACAACACAAAAATCAAATCAATGGGCAAGAGTTACCAAAGTACTGTTGGATTTGTCCATTAAAATTGTAAAGTTGGGTCACTTTGTGCTTCTTGTATGAACTACTCTGAGTATTTGTCCCAGTTTTCTTATATCTTTCTTTCAAATGATATTGGCTTTTAGGAATGCTAGAGTGTATGTGAATTGTAGGCTTGTAACTGCTTTATATGGTGAATAAATTTGCCTTCCCTTTTTCCTGTTGATTATGATGCAGATAAGCTTTGATTTGTTTTCTAAGAATAGTCTTGGGTCCTTGCAGTCATTGTTCGGGATTTATTTTACAACCAACCAGTTCGGAGGAAGCATATCCAATCTAGGTTCCTCTTACTTTGCACATATTTTGCTTTGGGTTTAAATTTATTAATGATAGCCAACTACCTTAGCTGATATGATCATTTTACTCGTGATGATGTGCACTAACTTGATTTGGTTGTGATTTGCATAATGAAATTGGAAGCCCGAAGAAGGTCTTGCACTCAGTCAAAAAATGTGTTCTTAGAATTGCCATTGTTCATCCAAAAGTATTCTTCAAAGTTGTTGATATTGAGAGGTGTTCCTGCTCTACATTTGTCAATATAGCACTTGGAGGGTCATATATGTGTTTGCTTACATTTTGTTTTACCTGCATGCAGTGAGGATGAGTTCTGCACGACTCCTTCCTCATCTCCTTTGTCACTGTTGACGAGTGGTTTTGGAATTGAGATTTTCAGCTCTCTACATGAATTAAATGTCTCTGATGGTGTATTAAAGCTTTCTGGATATATGTCTAGTCCTCGTGATACTTCATTTGTGAAGGTATACTTCATTTGATGATATAACTATTTAACTGTTTTGATATGCTTTACTGATTCCCCACTGTCAATAGTGCTAATTGAGGGTCCTTTTTCTTGCAGGCCTGTCAATTTGTCTGTATCCGTGAAGTTGATTATCTTGTTAGTGTGCAAAGGTTATATTGCACTAGATAGATTAGCAATTAAGATACTGATAAAACAAAAAGATCGGCACTTGAGATAATTGAGAATTTTGATTTTCTTGACCTTCACTTATGTAGACATCAACTCTCTTTATATCTGCAAGGGCCCAATTCATAAACTGCTGAATGAGTTGGTCACTAGGTTCAACTCTTCGGATCTGCAGGAGGCTAACATGAAGTTACAAAATGGGAAGCGAAGTAGGTCTCAAACATATGAAACATACATTTTGAATTTAAGTTGCCCAAGATCTTGGTATGATATAACATTTGAACCATCAAAGACTTCTGTTGAATTCAAGGTAACATTTCTTCTTGTTTGATCATGAACTGTGATATATATAATTAGCTAATTGATTGAGAATTTTCCTGGCTTATGAAGTTTGTTTGCCCCTTGTCAATTAGATTGTTTTGAGTGGAAAAGTGATTTTTGTCATTTCTCAAAAAGTTGAAATATTGGAGACTTCAGTAAAATGTGGCTAGAGAAGGTAAGCAAATAGATTGGAGCTGGCCTTATGTGTGCACAAGTAAAGATTGCTTCTTTAGCATTACAAGAACAACACTGGAACTTCACCTGAAAACAAAATGATAAGCCGCTTTTAATCACCGTTCCTTTTCTTTGTTTTGAATTGTTTGGAACAGGGAGTTTCTGGCTTAATTAGCTCAGTGTTGAAAATGAACAAATTCAGGATTGGATCAGCCTTCCAGAAATTCCACTTAGAAGCCTCCTCTTAATAACATCTAATTAGCGTCTTTCTAGTGTCGCATGACTGCTTTTCATCACATTATTGTTTCCAAATTTTATATAAATAACTATTTTTGTTTTAATCTGCCATAACATTGTTCTCTTCACATTACATTGAGAAATTGTCCTTTATAAAAGGTTACTTTGGTAGATTGTCTAGTGAAAAGGAGAGATGGAATTTATAAACACACTTTGTGTCAATGCCTTACAAGTTTGTTTAAACTGATCATCAAAGCATCAATGTTTGCAGCGTGAATCCATTTTTGTAGCTTATTTTGAGGAAGTCAAACAACACAAAAATCAAATCAATGGGCAAGAGTTACCAAAGTACTGTTGGATTTGTCCATTAAAATTGTAAAGTTGGGTCACTTTGTGCTTCTTGTATGAACTACTCTGAGTATTTGTCCCAGTTTTCTTATATCTTTCTTTCAAATGATATTGGCTTTTAGGAATGCTAGAGTGTATGTGAATTGTAGGCTTGTAACTGCTTTATATGGTGAATAAATTTGCCTTCCCTTTTTCCTGTTGATTATGATGCAGATAAGCTTTGATTTGTTTTCTAAGAATAGTCTTGGGTCCTTGCAGTCATTGTTCGGGATTTATTTTACAACCAACCAGTTCGGAGGAAGCATATCCAATCTAGGTTCCTCTTACTTTGCACATATTTTGCTTTGGGTTTAAATTTATTAATGATAGCCAACTACCTTAGCTGATATGATCATTTTACTCGTGATGATGTGCACTAACTTGATTTGGTTGTGATTTGCATAATGAAATTGGAAGCCCGAAGAAGGTCTTGCACTCAGTCAAAAAATGTGTTCTTAGAATTGCCATTGTTCATCCAAAAGTATTCTTCAAAGTTGTTGATATTGAGAGGTGTTCCTGCTCTACATTTGTCAATATAGCACTTGGAGGGTCATATATGTGTTTGCTTACATTTTGTTTTACCTGCATGCAGTGAGGATGAGTTCTGCACGACTCCTTCCTCATCTCCTTTGTCACTGTTGACGAGTGGTTTTGGAATTGAGATTTTCAGCTCTCTACATGAATTAAATGTCTCTGATGGTGTATTAAAGCTTTCTGGATATATGTCTAGTCCTCGTGATACTTCATTTGTGAAGGTATACTTCATTTGATGATATAACTATTTAACTGTTTTGATATGCTTTACTGATTCCCCACTGTCAATAGTGCTAATTGAGGGTCCTTTTTCATTGCACGACCCATGGCATTTCTTCTGTTGAATATGCTATTATAGAACATTGAATAAGCACAGGGAAATCTTATACATTGGAAAGTGTGGCATTATTTTACTTTTGAAAGTATTGATGACTGATAGCCTACTTCTTAGTTTTTGGAATGTAGGTGCTTAGTGTAAAATAAATTGATAAATTGATGTATTATTGATTGATTGTGTATATTACAAGATTGATATGTTTATATTTTGTACAAGAATTCCTATTATATAGGAGATGATTCTGGAGTAGGTGAGGAGTGAGTGGTGGAGGTAGGTTTGGTGGAGTGTAGTAGGTGATAGGAGTAGTAGGTGGAGGTAGGTTTGGTGGTAGGTGTAGTAGTAATTTACATTTACATTAACAATGTAAATGAGGAACACAACAAAGCCTCCTAACCTAGAACAATCAAAGCAAAGTTTAGAACCTTGAATGTGACATCGTTGTGTTTCAATAGAGTTTGTGTTTCACTTACCACTGCCATTTATAAGCAGTGAAAATGGAGAAATGACCGGGATCTAGGACAGACGGTCTGAGCTTGGTGGTGAAGGTCTCTATTAGAGCTACAACCAAGTATACTAATGCTATTCTCTGTTTACACACACAACAAACCGGTATTGACATTAGTATTTACTTTATTTTAGAATTCACCCATTTGCAAATACTCTAAACAAATTTCAATTTTGTAATAACGATTTCAATTGAAATGAAAGTAAAATTAAGGGGGTTTATATTTTATTTTTATATTTTCCTTCTAACTTGCGAAGGCCGGATGACAATTCAGAATGAGAAAGCTCACTTTGACTGTTAATTCATTCCATAATCCATAGAACATCCATAAAATCATATCTTGGGCTCGAAAGATTTATCAATAAATTCTGATATCAAAATACAAATATTAGATGTCACATATTTAAAATCTTTACTAATTGGCTACTTGAAATCATTTTCAGGTTGCAACTATTTGTAACCTTTGTGAAAAGAATGACGGGGAAGAATATGCGTTACCTGGAGGATGCCACACCATCGGATTTGCTTCATGTCAACTCCATAAGACAGATCATCTGGTGCATGAGAGTATCCTCCTGCATCATGCAAATTTTCTAATTAGTCCTCGCTCGATCAATTTGGCCTGAATAGAAACTGATGGTTGACACCTTTTGCCTTTTAGTTTGTAGTCTACTTATCCCTAAAACTCATTCAATTGTTTTCAATACCTTGCAAGATAATTCCCCAAAAAAGAAGCTTTAATGTCCTTATGATTATTTTCTTGACTGCATCCTTCACCACTGGTATTTTCTGCAACATTAAGATCGAAATTCATTGCATATTTGGTTAGTCTATAAGCCAAATTTATGAGATCATAAGATAGATGAATGATGAGCTTGTTTTGCATATTTTTGTTTTTGTTTTTGGTCCGGGGTATTGGAGTAGCGGCCCCAAGATATGGTTACTTTTACACTGCACCAGACCATATGCTCACCTCTTCTTCTTGATTATATCCATGTATTAGTTCTCTATGCCAATCAAACCATTAGAATTGGGCATTGACTTGATTGTAGTAGCATCATGGTTCAAAGTTGAATTGGACAGTAAAGTTGACTTGGCTACATAGTTATGTCATAGTATTGAGTAATATGTGTTACATAAAATGCTCAATAAGTTTCCAAAATATCATGAATTAATACATTAATGAAGACATAAGATAAACAAAATGCTAAATATTAATCATTGTAGGCGCTACGGAATTTACTCTACTACAAGCTCACATTTAAATCTACTTAGATTAAATATACAAAATAAGTCAAATATGTATTCATTAGATTAATATTTTTCTATCTTGACAATATCTAACACTTTGTCTAAATTTTTTAATTTGGTCCTTACAATTTTGATTGTGAGTCAAAATCCCCTAATTTAATTTCCGTCTAAATTATACAAGTGAATTAAAGATTAAACTATCAAATCAAAGTCAAGATAATTAAAAAAATATTTAAACAAACTTGGATGACTAAAATAATACAATTGGGTTATATGATAGTCATAAATTTTATTTTCATTTAATTTATTGACAATCGCTCATAGATACATTGTAACTTTGTCAAAAGCACATGTTTTTTAATGTCACAATTGAAGATGTAATAATCAAAATAAAATTTTAGATAAATATATAAAAGTGATAAGTATAATTTATCTTAAAAAATTATGAACAATATGGAAAATGTCTCGTAGTTCAAATTTTGTGGCTCAAAAGTGGCTCAAATGGCCAAAACGACGTCGTTTTGAGTACAGA